CCGACGACGACGACGCCACGCTGCCGTCGCCGGTGCCGAGAACGGCCGACAAGGCGCTTGACAGCTTGGCCGTCATCCCCTCCACCAGCTCCCCCGCTTCTACGGTCGCCCCAGGCGAAGACTCCTGCAGCACGGTCTGCAGCATAGCCACGCGGTCGCGAACATCCACAAGGTCGTCTAAGACCACCGCCGCCGGTGAGCGCGCGCCGCCAGAAGACGCCATGCCAGCCAGAGAGGCACAGAGAGCAAGCGAAGCTGCTGGTGGTGCTGCTGAGTTGGTACGGTTGGCGTGCTCGACGCACGGTGGGAAGGTGGGGGGGAAAGCAAGAGGAAGAGGCGAGGAACAAGGAGGCGAGCGCGTGCGGCCCCCGGCTAGGAAGGCGACGTCGGGGCGTCATCGGCGTGACTCAGCCGGGTGAGCTCACCGATCGCTCTCATGCATGCATGGTCGTGGGGCCATGCATGGCACTGGCACTGGCACCGCCTCTATCCGGCACAAATGGTTTGCACAGTCATGATGTGAGCACTACCATTAATCTACCATTACTTCTTGCAGTAAAGGGCCAATTTTCCTCCATGATAAACAAAGTAAAGGGCCAATTGATGGATGCCACTTTTCTTACAGGCCACGGAAGTCGCAATGCTCGCCAAGGAAAATATAGTAAAAGCGAAACGCCTATAACTAGCAAACTGATCACTCGCAATGCTCACCGATCGCTCTCGCCCAGCAACCGTCCAGGGGAGCATCTTCCAAGACAGCAAACTGCTTGCATATCAACGCGGGAGTACCTACAATCTCAAGCTCAGATGCACCCGCAAATTATAAGGCCAACTCCACCGCGCGACCCTATCATGTCCGCCCCGGTCCGTTTGGAGTAAAAGGGACAAACGAGACGGCCCAGCGCGCGGGCGCAAACGGACTTTTGTCCGCTTTGTGTCCGCTTTCGATCCATCCCCGGCCCAAAGTTGCGCCGGTTTTGGGGTGAAATGGACAGCGCGCGGACGGGCGGGACGCGCGCGCTTGTCCTCCCCTGGCCCGCCTGTCGGTGGGAGAAACCAACCCCCCTCCCCCGCCCATTTGGCGCCATTTCCCCCAAACCCTCCCACGTCCCTCCCGCCGCCCCCTCTCTCCCCCGTCCATGGCCGACGCCCCGCCGAGTTCCGGCGGCCTGGCCGTCGACCCGACCACAAAGGTGAAGAAGAAGGCGCCAAGGAAGCTGCGGTCGGAGTGCACGCCGGAGGAGATCGCTAAGTTGGACGCGGAATCGGTGAAGAGGAGGGAATGGAGAGCGGTCGTCAAGATCAATGCCGCCGCGGCCAAGTTCGCCGCCCAGCGCGAGGAGCTGGAGGCCGCGCGGCGCAAGGCCGCTGCCGACGAGAAGGAGGACCTCGTCAACAAAGCGCACGCCATCCTCATGCTTGGCATGGGCCGTCCGGCGGGGTTCCATGCAGCGGCTGTCGGCCCGGCGAGCACAGGCTCGTCGGTCGCCCGGCCTACGCACTGTCAGTCGCCGACGTCGCGCACCGCGCCCATGTCGTCCGGCTTTCCTCTGCCCAGGCACGACGGCCAGACCCGTTTCTCGGCGTCCCCGAACGTGGGCTTGTTCGCGCCGTCCACACCACGCCCCGCGGCCGTCATCGACCTCAACGTCACGCCTGGGTCCAGCAGCGGCGGGCGGCCGTCCGTCGAGATGCAAAGAAAGCAGGCGCGTTGAAGAGCATTCGCACCGGTTCATATACACAAGATGAGGACAAGTTGATTTGTCAATGTTGGATGGAGATTAGTCAAGATCCAAGGACCGGCGCGCAACAAAAGGGCATTGTTTTCTGGACGAGAGTCCACAAAACATTCCATGAAAGGAAGATGTTTGAGCCCTACCAAATTACAAGCAACCGTGGCATCGGTTCGATTCAAAAAAGATGGTTGTTCATCCAACAAGAGTGCAACAAGTATTGTGCCGCATTTGAGAGCGTTGAAGCACGGCCCGTGAGTGGTCTCGGCGTTGGGGACATGGTATGCTCTTCTCTTTTTAGCCCTTTCCTTGCTACGGCCATGATACTTTGGTCGTGTATATGTTTGCATGTTCACTTGTTGTTGATCATGTGGTGTAGGCATTTCAATCTTTGGAGGCATTCAAGGCCCGGCACAATGACAAGCCATTCACTCTTACGCATTGTTGGACGCTCATCAATAATTGCCCTAAGTTCAAGGATCAATACCGTGAATTTCAAAGGAAGAGAGGCAAGAAAACGGCCAAGTTCGCCGGAGGTGGGGATGGCGAGGCGTTGAAGAGGCCGAGGGGCAAGACCAACTCCAAGGTGGACGACATACGTGACGCCTCAACCATGGCCTTGCATGAGACTTTGCATGGAATGATGTCACATAAGGATGTGAGGGACGAGAAGAAGCGGCAAAGCAAGGACGAGCAAATGAAGCAATACCTAGACCTTCAAAGACAGAAGCTTGAGATGGAGGAGGCGGCCAAGAAGAGGAAGATAGGCATGGAGGAGGCAGCCCGGCAAAGGCAGCTTGACATGGAGGAGGCGGCCCAGCAAAGGCAGCTCGACATCGAGGCCGACAACGTCAAGGCCAGGCAGAGGCAGCTCGACATCGAGGCCACCAATGCCGCCACCAAAGCGAAGAAGGTGGCCCTTGCGATCATGAGCGTGGACTTGTCGAAGATGAGCGACAAGACGAGGGCCTGGTTCGAGGCCAAGTAGAAGGAGATGCTCGACGCCGAAGGCCTGAACTAGGTCGTCCGATCGGCGTGGCCGTTCTTTTTGGAGGCTGGCATGGGTGCCGCCCGCCCGCTGGGCCGGTGGCAGTGTGTCGGCGAAAAAACATTCACTTTGGAGGCCGGCTGTGTTGTCGGCCGCTGGCTGTGTTGCCGGCGAGGACAACTATTCATTTTGGAGGTTGGTTGTGTTGCCGGCGATGGTCGTGTAGGCCGCTGGCTTTGTTGCCGGCATGATAAACTGGGGTCGTGACCTGGGGCTTGGCATTTGAAACGTCCCTCTTTTTTTAAATACACGCGGATAGGATGGGGCAAAAGGATGTGTCCGCGCGGTGGGCGCACGGCCACCGCATCTCAGGACAGGTCCGGACACGATCCCAAATCCCTACCCAAAGGGACAAAAACAGGATAAAACGGACGTCCGTTTGGGGCCGCGAGGTGGAGTTGGCCTAAAGAGAAAAGTCCACTTTTGGTCCCTCGATTCTCCGGTCTTCTTATTTTTGGTCCCTCAACTCTAAAACCGAATAGATTGCACCACCAACTCTTGAAACCAGCCACTTTTCGTCCCTACGTGGTTTCGCTACCGAGTCAACCCAGTTTTGACCACAACGTGAGCAGTGTTCCTATGAACAGCAAATTCGAACAAAAAAACAAAAAAACTGAAAATTTATGACATCGAAGACACTCAGATGGGCAAGGTGCGTGCCAATTTTCGTCATGTTTGGACGTTCGAGAAGCTCACAGCAAAAAAACAAATGTAAATCTACTCTATGATGAACAGTAAATTCAAAAAAATAGCAAAAAGGTCCAAAAAAACATATTTGTTTTGGCATCGAAGATGCTCAGATATTCAAGGTGCATGCAAATTTTCCTGCTAAAATGACATCCGAGGGTTTGGAAACCACCCGAAGCAGCACGCACACGTATGCTATTTTAAAAAAAAATCCACGAGCTCCTCGGATGTCATTTTAGCACGAAATTTTGCATGCACCTTGCGCACCTGAGCATCTTCAGTGCCAAAAAATTTGAGATTTTTTTTTTTGCTATTTTTTTAATTTACTGTTTATCATAGAGTAGATTTACTTTTGTTTTTTTGCCGCGAGCTTCTCGAACTTCCCAACATGACAAAAATTAGCACACACCTTGCGCATCTGTGTATCTTCGATGTCATAAAATTTCATAATTTTTTGATTTTTTTTTGCTTTTTTTTAATTTTCTGTTCATCGGAGCACTGTTCACGTCATGGCAGCAAAACCCCACACAGGGACGAAAAATGTCTGGTTTCGAGAGTTTATGGTACAATCTGTCCGGTTTTAGAGTTGAGGGACCAAAAGTGAGCAGACCGAAGAATTGAGGGACCAAAAGTGGACTTTTCTCAATTATAAATTCCGAAAAGATAGTAAAAATAAATAAAAACTTAACTTTTTTTTGTGTATGAACATCAACAAGTTTTCTAACATGCTGCAAAATTACGCCCCAAAAAAACATCCGTAGAGGTGTGTGCAGAAAATATGCAGAATCCGGAATTTTGCTTTTTGTACAGGCCTCCATGGCTGTCTTTTCAAAGTGAAATTTGGCAGGATATTAGAACTTCAGTTGATGTTCATACACAAAAAAAATGACTTTTCTATTGTTTTACTGTTCTCCATCGGATTTACTGTTCATTCAGGTGCATTTGTGCTTAAGAAATATATATACTCCATGTCCGCAAGGCAAAAGAAAACAATGTTGCCCATCTGCCGTGTCCACTTGCACAGCCGAATACCCGACGCAAGTCGACAACCGCGGTCACAAGTGGGCGTACCCAGGGTGCTCAAGCTTAAAATACGCTATCAATGACACAAACTGTACATGCTGCCTGCGGTAGTTCTAAAACAAATATACTGTACATGCTACGTTCATGCACATAGTACACCTGACACAACTTGTATGGCAGAATCACCATGACAAAGATAGAAAATGAGATGGTTCACGACACATGACAAAGAATTCCCTCTGTAAAGAAATATAAGAGCATTTAGATCACAAGTAGTGATCTAAACACTCTTATATTTCTTTATGGAGGGAGTACAAGTTCACCGTCTCCATAAACGGCCACACAGGCACCAGTGCTCTACGCCATTCAATCGGTGATGCCAGAACTTCATGACCATACCGTCTACATTCGTCTAAAATTAGTGTCGTCTACTGTAACCTCGAGATTCAGACGAGCACTGGAATTTCCGGTTAGACCAAGACTACCTCTGTTAACTTAATGGTGGTTAATCATGTTGCTCCATTGATAGCCCTCATTTCAGCAGCCAACCCCGCAGCAACAGACGGAGGTAAACTCCTCAGGCTATCACCGTGATCCTTATCGTCCTCCTCTGGAGGTTGATCAGGTGTTGCCACCGGAAACAGTGACTCGACATCCTTCAGCGTCAGAGCAAGCTCGTCTTTGAAGTTCTTTGACTTGCGTTTGATCGTGGAGCAGACATTTCTGCCCCTGTTCATTTTGTATATGCTGTCTTCTATTGTTTTCTTCACCTGAACACCAGCAATTCTATGAGTTTTTTCTTTCCAAGAATACTTTCAATGAAATAAATGAGCATAGGATGTGGTGCTTACTATAAATCGGTGGATGAATGTGCTCTTGTCTTGCCCAACTCTATGGATCCTACTGATAGCTTGTGCCTCAGCTGATGGGTTTAGTAATGGTTCCAGTAGAATCACATGCTGTGCTTCCAGTAGATTCAGACCATTTGCGCCATGCTGGATAAGCATTAGCAATACTTGAACAGGCCGTGTTTTGGAAACTGCCTTCTTCGTTTTCTCTCCATTTATACTGGATTCCAGGCCTTTAAATTGACAGAGCGCCAATTGTGATTTTCTGAAGGAAAATGAACTTCATTAAGCAACTGGCATTGTCTATAAGATCAGTAACGACTAGCAGCACAACTGGGAGCAGAACAAGAGAAAAGAAAAGAAAAGATGACTTCAAGATATCTAATATCATAATAGAATTATTGAACTCAGCAGTGAGACAAATAATTAAAGCATGTATGGGCTGGGCTACACGTATCTCACCTTCCTCCTTTCATCCGAGCATAAGATATATTGTTAGCAGCAAGGGAATGCTCTAATACATCAAGGACATCATTCCAACTTGAAAAAGCAAGTATTTTGGCTTCCCCATCACTGGAAGTGATCTTCAAAATTCTTCTTGTCACAGCTTCAATCTTAGTCCAAGTAAAAGAACAAAAAAGATTCCATTAGTTATCACATCCAACTTGAACACGTATTTACTAATTAGACAAGCCTGAGTTGGACAGCTTGGTGAGGTACATGGCCTATGAACCTGTGATTTCGCTAGTTGTCACAGCTTCAATCTTAGTCCAAGTAAAGAGAACAAAAATATTTGACAGAGTTATTGTAGCCAACTTGAACACATAGTTATTAATTAAACAAGCCTCAGTTGGACAGCTCCATGAGGTTCATGGCATATGAACATGTGATTCTGTTTTTTTTTCCTTTAAACCCAGGCTCAACTCCTGTCCATTGCTCATGATGGAAATACAACAGTTCATGAGATTCAGACAGATGGAAACATCATGTGATTCTGCTAAAGTTTATATAACAGCACGTGCATTCGCTTAGCACGAACTCTACTCCCTGAGCACAAATATGAAGTGCATATCTAGAAACTCTGAGGTTATGGATAGATTTGTCCAACTTTTCAGATAAATCACTTTTTACGTAAACTCTCAGATAAATTAATTGCAGAACAAACTATGTACTTGGCCAAGAATTAAGTGATAAGCAACTCAGTCTCATAGAATGGTTAGTGCAAAAGGTTACTTGTTGTTGCACACAGGCATTAACTGTAGCCTTCCGTATAACATTATTACAAATGGGCGAACAAACAGAAACTATAAATTTGAAACACACAACAGTAGAATGGCCATAAGTAAGCAAATTGAATGAAACCTTTGTTCCGTATGAGCCTTGGACAGAAATAGCGGCTTCTGTCAAATCATCAGCTTGTTTATCAGCATTTTCACTCTGTTTCTCAACCACAAAAGCAACATTCTCAAGATATGTACGTTGACGGCATGTAGGGCACATAATCCATTTTTTGTGCTTCCCAGCAGCTCGATCTGTCAGGTACAAACAGCCTGAGAAGAACGAGGAGATAAATTTAGTGAAGGTAGTGTTTATTATACATCAAATGGACATATGAGATGAATAATCAATGGTTTGCCAAGACAGGGTTGCAATTTTCACAAAAAAAAGGCACTGCGGTTGGATTTGCAAAAATGAAGTCCATTAGTACAGCATGCAGGCAAACACATTGTAAACAGCCAATAATAGAGGGGCAGAAGCATTAACTGCACCAGTTAATGTATACTTCAACCGAGGTAAATTTAAGCAAAGATTACATACAGTATCACTTGTAAACAAATTTTGAGGAGATAACTTGGGTACTCACACTTGCAGCACATGGAGTGGCCACATTGGAAAACCATTTTCTGCTCGAGAATTTTCTCCTGACAAACTGGGCATGGTTCATTGCTAATCTCAGAACCAATTTGCTCTGTGGCAGGGAAGGAAGTCGCTGTAGCAACAGTGTTGCCTGACTTGGGCAGCATCAATCCCTAAAAGTAAAGGGAAATGCAACATATAAGTAGATTTAAAAGAAATGATTCAGGTGTTATCCAGATTGAAAATAGTTCGGTTTTCGGGAGGATATGATGACAGGCCATAATATCAAGTTGACAGCAGGGCAGTAGTAGTGATTATGTTACCTTCAAGTACCGGAGTTGGCCTCTTATACGAGCTAAAGATGTTAGAGCCAAGAACTTGTCACTTGTGAACTGCACGTTGTATGGAATAAGTTCTTCTCTGGTTACAATATTGACAGCACTGGGCTCATCATCATTCTCTTTGAGCTGCAGCCGTGAGATAGACATCTTGATCTCATCATGAGCACGCAATAATTGGTTCTGAGCAATTGACAAACTCCTTGCAAGAGAAAACTCCTTGCGCATAGCCTAAATTAACAATCATAATCAGAGAATGTCCTAGCCCAGGATACTTTTTGAACCTTTCAAATTTGAACTAAATATACAGAACAAAGCAAGCAAGATTTTAAGCTTTGACATATGGCAAGGTTCCTAAAATGATGGCTAATTGAATTGGCCTTTATCTCCCCTTGATGTTTTCTCAGATATTACCAAATGCAATTGATCATCAAACAAGATGTAGCAGGTTTTACATGGTAACAGGCTCAGTAGTAGTGGCTCAAAACAAGTGTTCTTTCTCTGATAAAAAATCATGACATGACCAAATATCGCTTTTTAAAGGAAAAGGTACTCATATACTATTCGCGGGCTTCTTGTATTTGCTATTCCTTATGCTACGGTAGAATAATCCGAAGTGCTAGCATTTACTGATGGTCATTGAAATGACCATCATGCCAGAAGAGAAGGCGTCAATCTACAAACTATGATGTACCTCAAAAAGAAGTAAATGCTTCTTAGCAATTTCAACATATTGCTTTCCCAATACTCTCCTTGAGTGGGTTCGAATAGCCCTTAGAGCAGTCTCGGTTTGAGAAGGATGCCTGTAGACCTGTAAAGAGAGGCAGCATATAAAACTATAATGATGTGTTCTAAGCAGCATAATAAATAATGTTCTATAAAAACATAATAATAATAGATAAATAGTTGAACACTTTTAACTCCTTAAATGACAGGTTTAACTGAAGATAGACGATAGAAGAAGAAAAATTCTAGTTAAAAAGAAGTTAAACCAAATCATGTCCCTTATCTCTACTACTTTATAAACTGGAGTTGGTGGTGGTGGCGACAAGTTCACTCTCCCAGCTCTATCCCAATCCCCATCATCCATCTAGGACATACAGACCATCTTTGATTTTGGCACAGCTCAGTCAAACCAAAAAGCCACCGCATCACTCGTGTTTTGGATGGGAGAATATTTTACAAGTACTGCCTCCGTCCCAAAATAAGTGACTCAACTTTGTACTAAAGTTAGTACAAAGTTGAGTCACTTATTTTGGGACAGAGGGAGTACTTGGTAGGACACAATATTTTTACTATGATAATAACCAGCCAGTCAATTCGCCAAGCAATTTTTCCCTGCCACCGCTCCTCCTCAATACCCACCCTCCATCAACCACCCCTCCCAATATCCATCCTCCTGACTTTCAAATTTCAAAAGCCGGTCATGGCTCCACCCCTTCAAATCTTGCAATGGTGCTCCATGGTCGCTGCAGATACACAGGTGCAGCCTGAACTGCGCCATGGCTGCAGATCTTAACAAGTGCATTGGTTGAAGTATATGCAGATCGCCCAACCTTCTCCATCAGTTTGGACTTATGGTTTTACTTTTGACGGTTCATGAAACTTAATACGAGAGTCAGAAGGTCTTGGGTTCAAGTCTCTGATTTCGCAATTTAAATAAAAAATTGATTGCCCTCTTCCTGTCCATGTTTAGGGCTTATCGAGCCAGATGTGAGGAGTTGAAGTATATGCATAGTGCCCAACCTTCCCTATCAGTTCGGACTTTTGGTTCTACTGGTAATATGGTATCGTAGCCAAGAGTTCTTGGGTTCAAGTCTTGGCATTCACAATTTAAATAAAAATAATAATTGATTTCCCTCCTTTTGTCCATGTTTAGACCTTCAGTTCAGGGTTTTGGTTCTGCTTGTTGGTGCATGAAACTTAATAGTTCCTAGTAGAAGGGAATAAAGGGAATACTCGGTGCAATACAAAGATGGATGAACAAAGGTCAAAAGGGTACAGTGAAGGGTATTCTAACTGACAAGTATTGAGCTATATCAGCAAATGAAAGACATGACAATCATCTGAATAAGGATGGAACAAAAGTCACCTGTATATTTTCCCGAACAGATCTTGGATTATCATTGTTGCCACCAACTTCAGATCCTTCATTAGTTTTTTTGTTACGGAAAAAGTGATTCAACTCATAGTTTCGCCTCTGTACATCCCGTGCTTCATCTACTGAAGCAATAACAGAATCATTGTTCGATTTCTTAACAACAAAGAGTCGTGCCTCATACCCCTAGAAAAAATCATGGGATTGATAAATAAATTATTAATTTCATTTTACCTAGAATACATTGAAGAGCACGATCATACAAGATTACCTGAGACAGCCCATCTAATTCACACTGGATGCACAAAGAACCAGTACCATCATAGCACTTTGGACAATATCTCTGACTCTCAATGTCCTCGTCCCTTGGGTTATCCATTGTTTTGTTAATTTCCAATAGCCTACCCATTAATTGTTGCCTTGAACCTTCCAGGGAGTCAATACCAGCTTGAATAGTATACTTCAAGCCAGCAATAGTTTTAACCCTATGCATAGAATAAAACAACCATGTTATCCATCAAATACTAATAATATTTTAATTTAGTGATTCTAATTCCTAAATAGTTAAGCTACTGCAACTTCCTTCAAAAATAAACCAGCATAAGATTCAAGAAAAAAATTGAACCAGTTTTAGTGCTGACCTGGACGATATCGCCCCTGTGCCCAAGCCAGTGGTGCTCTTGGTGGATAAACTATCAATCTTCTTAAAAAGCTCATCAGTATCATCCTTATTCTTTTCAATGCAATCCAAAGCGTATAGCCACCAGCCCATACCCTGATTTCGTAGTTCTTTATTAAGAGTTGTGACCTAGAGGCAGGCAGTCATTAGAAAACAGTGATAAATTTAGTCTAGATAACTGTAAGAACTAGAGTAGAGGCAAACGTCGTGCTTATAGAGCACTAAGCAAGATCTGAAACACACAAGAATGTTACATAGAACATTCCAAGGAAGATAAGACGTGGATCAAAATCACATGTTGCAAGTCGCAACCCAGAAAATAACAATAAAGTGAAGAGACCAACCTCTTCAAATGATGCACTGAAATCTTTCTGTGCTATTAATAGCTTTGTAGTAAAAACTGATAAATATTTTTCTTTGAGTGTGTTGCATTTCTTTCTCAAGCAACCATCAGCAAAACACTCAGATGACAAGTGGCATCCAGTACGATTCTCTGCATCCAACTCCACACTTATGGATGCTTGTCCAACAACATTTTTGTACTCAGAGGTTTCAGGACTACCAGCTGCCAAAACTGAGCCGATGTTCTCGGATATCTTATTTCGCTTTACACCACGTAGATCTGAATCCGCATGGCTAGTTTCCTTTCTTTTACGTCTGTAGTAGACAACAGGAGGTTGTATTTTTGGTGTGCATTCATGCAAATATTCAGAACTAGTTCTGAGCAGCTCCGCAAGATTGTGGTTGATATGAAGATTCAACAACGGGTCAACACGGAAATCATCAAAATTTTGGCGAGCTAAATCTAGTGCTTCTTTGTACAAAGAGATAGCTTCTTGGTTCTTTTGTTCAATGATAGCAATTCCAGCAAGACCATTCAGGGAAACAACAACTTTTCTAAGTTCTTCCTCCCCTTCAACTTTTGCTTTACCAATAAGAACCTGGATAGAAAAGGATCATGAAAAACTTAAGCACAAAATCACGCAATTTTACAAAAATAATTAGCTGCCAATTGGGGAGGTAAAATTGGTCGTTCACCTGTAAAATTTCATCCATGGACAAAGGAGTACGTTGCAGAGAGCAGAGACCAGAACTCCCCACTTGCGGATGGCAACAGGCCTGCCGAAGCTTGAGCAGTGGGACTAGAAGTTTGGCAGTGTCGTTGTTGGAGAGGTACGCATTTGATAAAGCATTTGAATCTACAAAACAACAAAAGGTTAAATCAGTTTCAGTTTTTTTTAAACAAAGAGGGATAGCACGGTAACTGTACAACAACTGAATTAACACCTTTAACAGTACTGTGAATTTGTGGTCATGAACAGCAACTGAATAACACCTTTAACACAGCCCTTCAGGGTGTGTAGTACATGTGATTGCTTTGTTCGAGTGCACACATGGAAAAAGTAACTGAAAAAGGAAATTTCTGACAGAAACTATCTCATAGGCATGACATTTAAGAGAAAATTAAACAAGAAAAGATGCAGATCTTGCAGACATATCCTTTAGACTATAGTTATTTCCCTCTAAATACAACAATTAAAGAAAAACAACAGAAAAGATATGGAATTTTTTAAATCCTGTCCTGCAGTATCAATCTAGCAACCAGAAAATAATTGATATAGTGGACAAAGTACCTGATGTTAGTTCCCTTCTGTTGGCATCATTTCTTAAGCGTTTAATAATTTCATGTGCATGGTCCATGCAAGTTGCATGTTGCTTCTGATAGAAATATTCTTCAATTGAAGAAAAGATGAGCCACGAGAAACACTCTTCTTGTGGAGGCAGCTGTAATTCCCGCGAGACATGAATTTTAGAGGAGCGCCACATGATTTCCTTGAAGAACTTGTGTGTATAATTCATAGCTATCATATCTCCCCTCTGCAGTTCAATTCAATGAGGAAAAGGTGAAAAGGATTAATTAATCCAACCGTCTTGAGGAACCAATGTTGAAAAAAGCTTCCATCATGGCTTTCATTCATATATTGCTATGCCAAGCAACAAATTTACACTAAGATTGGCATTCTTTAATCAGGTTTTACAGTTCTTCAAAGATGTTCATCATTCATGCATGTTTTTGAATTATATGAGCCTACAGATGAGCAATTACCTTATGATCTAACAGTAAAATTCATACCATCCTAGGTTTATAGGCTATTGGTGCCTCACTCAGAATCAATGACATGTGTGCAACTTCTTTCACTATCAGTGATTAATATTTCTAAGAATGATAAATAATACAGTATTATGTTTATTCTTTTGTCAACAGTTAGAGCAACTGCGGTATTACGAAAGATGTATTAAATGCTTGCAGATACCACTGGCAGTCAATGTACCTCATATGGGTCTCTAATAACGTCCACCCACCACCTATATGTGTCAAATGGACTTGTTCTGAGAAAACGTAGAAGGCCAAAGAGATCATCAAGCCTGCGTTGTATTGGAGTTCCTGTAACACACCAACGGTGTTGCGCATTTAGCCTCATCGCCATCTCAGTAACAGAAGTTTTGCTGGACTCTACCATCTGAGCTTCATCCAAACAAAGCCGCCACCAGTGGACCCTTGTTAGGACAGTTGGAATGACAGGGTACCTAAGTGTGTAATAAGAGTTCAGTAGAAGTTAAGCCATAGTTATTTCCATACTATTGAATGATTGGTGGGCCTAATGTGTTAAGCCATGCAATGCATATAAGACTGCAAGCATTCAATGGAATACTCAGACCAAATAAGCTAGTTCGCTTCTATTTCAGCTATTATCAGTATACCATAATTATAAACAGAATAAAAGCTCAAGTTAATTATATTTTAATGCTAACATTGTCAGGTGTAGCAAGATTCCACATTCAGGTCATGCAAGACCAGTAGAGATATTATAAATTCACAATTTTGAAACCCGAAAATGATAACTCAACACAACACAACACAATAAAGAGCACTTGTATAAAAATAAAAGATAGAAGTGTGAGCATCCAACCCTGCCACCACAACCAGACGAACACAGAACAGAGACTTGCTGCCCCTGCTTCCAAGTAACCATACGACCTAAAGTGCTATGATGAATGTGTAACACCCTGCGTCTCAAAGAGGCTAACAGCTGCCCAACATGGGGTGGCCATGTATTCGCAGCATCTTGTTTACAATTGCACCCTCACTTCATGTAGAAGGGATTAAGCAGAGGTGCATGTCTTGGGTCGACAAGGGTTATATATGCAAGTGAAACGGCAATTAAACTGGAAATGTGATACTGAAGGTGGCAGGCGCTACAGAATGTCTAGAATAAAGAGGACAAAACCCCTTCTCAGTTAAGTACACATATTAACTGAGGTTCAGATTGTCATATAAGTCAACTTTCAAAATAACAGAATAAGTTGATCAAGTATGGCCAAGCTTCGGTGTGAAAAATAAACATTAATTCTTCTGAAATCTGAATAAATGGTGATCGCTACAGAATGTCTAGAGTGAAGGGGACAATACCTCTTTTCAGTTAAGGACAAATATTAACCAAGTATTCAGATTGTCGTGTAGGTTGATCTTAAGTATGGCCAAGCTTCGGTGCAAAAATTAAACATTACCTCTTCTGAAATCTCAAGAAACGGCGATCACCATCATGCCGATCAGAATCATGAGATAGATCTTCTTTTAGGACATCATAAGTTGTCAAAACAACATCAGCAGTGCTTATTTCAGTCAGATCATTTCTTTGGTTAGAAGCTGAGAAGTTCCTTGCACCTTCATAAATGCGAACGTCCAGAGATCCTGGCCTTGTGTGTCTAAGAGAAAAGGAACTTAACAGTCAGCACTATCAGCATATGCAGATAATCGCTGAACTAAGGAGGTACCAGTAAGCATTGGAATAATCAAGACTGGATAAGGCACTTGCAGCTTCAGTTATACGCATAGATTATACTGCACTGGAATGGTCTAGCAAAATCTGTTGCACATGAACAAATTGTTCTTAACCGTTGAGAACTTCTTCCAAAATATGTAACGTATTTATTTTGTTATGAAAAAACATTTTTTTTTGTCATGAGCACCCTTAATTCCTACAGACACAGGGAAAGGATTTCAACTCAAAGTTGCAGAATTTCTACAATGATCCGATTAAAAGCAGTGAAGTGGAAGTCATGGGACTGGCACGGTTAAAACAGAACAAAATCAACATTCTACGTTCCAATCGAAGAGATATGCATCTGAAATTAGGAAAATAGCATATAGAATGGTCAAATGGTCAGGCACATGCTTTAAGTTTTCCAATGAGTGGTGTGGGTTCGAAAAATCACTACGATAGGGTCAAGCCCAGCTTAGTGCAGTTCATTTCCTCTCTTACTAATTCCATCTCCTAGACTTGTATCACTAAAAAACTTACTTTTATTTCCCTGTGCTTGTGGTTCTTGCAACTACTCCCCTGACTGATGGGGGGGGAGGGGTTGTGATGACCAATATACCATGTAACTAGTCTGTAACAATTCTTGGTGTTAATATATGTCAGTAGGAGCCTTTTCTACGGTCCTTTTTATGTTCAAAAAAAATCACTACGAACTTCGGAAAATTCAGGTCTGCTATTCCTTCAAGAACTAGAGACAATACTGAGCAGCTATTGTTTGGACAGGAGAAACCATACCGGGTAATCTCGGAGTGCCACTGTGCCAATATCGGTGACGGGCATACTATCAATGTAGCATGACTGAAAATAGTAGTTTGAGCTGCTTCAGCAAGTTCCAAGCATACCGCACAAATGTAGTGTTCGTCCGTCTCTGCAATAGAAAACTTGGCTCTCTTCTGCCTTCTACTTTTAGACTTCATGGTGCCTTTTTCATTCCTTGACAACACATCATCATCGTCAAAGGTTAAGCCTTTCTTGGGTGAGTAACCAACACAATCACCGTGTTGCCAAGCATCACAAATGTCACATTGGACCCACATCCCTTTGTATGCAGAACTTTCACTTGCAGCCCCACAAATGCATTCAACTCTATCTCTTTTCTGCCTACTTATCAGATCTATTTCTTTTCTGGTTCGAGAGACAGAACGATCTACGGAAAATGTGCTACGATGGGCAAAAATGCAAGCCAAAAGCTCAACAGTTTTACCCAAGCCCATTTCATCTGTAATTATTTAGCCACAAAAAGGAAAATTAGTGATGAATATACTTAGTGCCCAAAACATTAGTGCACTGCAATTATTTCCAAACACTTAGAATCAACATACCAGCCAAAATCCCCCCAGAGACATGAGGTGGAGAAGGCTCTGGTTGCAATGAAACATTTCCGCTGCAAAGTGACAGATTACATAAAACTGAACCATTCAAGGATGCTGTAGGAACAAATGTGTTCCAAATCCAAAGAATTGGAAATAATATATTTTTGGAAAAAGAACAACTGAGTAATAAGACAATAAATATGCAAAACAAATACTAATGTGTATAGGAGTCTAAGAAGTTTCGCCGCCATATCCTAATAGCCTACAGCTATCCTAAATCAAGCCAAACCTTGATACCCAAAAGAATCTCAACATACTAGACCACAAACACACTTCTTTCCTTTGGGCAACACTACCCAATATCACCCAGCATAAAACCATATTACCATTAATTTCCTTACATGCGTGCAGGGATAATTAATGTAACTGTAGTTCAAACATGCCAATCTGCATTGAAGGAAAGCACAGCAACATTGAGGGAAGTACAAGTGAATGTGCATTGGACCCTTACTTGAAGGGATTGTAGAACATCCTCGAATGCTTGCTAATAAAATCTATGGGAACACAATAGGGTGCATGATGAACATAGTCCTCATTGGGTGATGGAACAGTTGTATTTCCCTTTTCACGCTGAACCATCCAATTTGCTGCACGAAGTTGGTATGGTCTGAGATGAGGAAGTAAATCAGGAAGCTCATCTTTCAGTAGCTCTGCATCCCTGTCAACAAGTAGTAAGAAAAAACCATCATATAACAGCGATAAAGAGAATGGTGCTATCATAATACATATAACTTTGTTCTGTATGACTCAAGATCGCAGATGACCAAACATTTCCACCAAGCCAGCATATGTATGCCATACTGACAGCAGAAAGTAGTTTATTTTTGGTGTGGATACTTTCACATACTTCATGAAGTTCACAGATAAAAGTTCAGAATAATTGCCTCAACTGTTTCCTAATAACCAAGACATGAGATCATGAGAATGTGAGGCACGCACATCGAAGGCTTAACGGCTTCGTAGAAAGCAGCAAGATCAAACTGTGAGTCGCTCTTCGGGGCAAAGTCACACTCATCATCACCGTCCATCGCTGGAACTAGACCATCCATCCCATACATGACAGCCGACGTGGTGACCTCGGGGCGAACCCAGGCCATCACATTCATCAAGCTCTTCCTCCAGGGCTGCCTCGCGACCTCCAGCAGCGATCCACACACATCGAAAGCCCGGTCCGTCACCTCCACTCTGACCCGGAGCACTATGGCCGGCGTCAAATCATCACCGTCACTCGGCAATGAGCTATACTCCCAAACCCGCAGCGTCATGAACCCCAAGCTGACCAAATGGGCAAGGCCGGATACACCTTCGTCAGGGCCATCAAAGCAGCCCGAGACAAACGCGCCGCCCCCAAGCTCCTCTGCGTGATACTCCAAGAGCACGCACTCCGACGGCACCACGGGCCAGTGGCCCAGCCTGAACCCGTCCTCCGGCGCGTCCCGCACCCGCAGGCGCAGCGAGGGCCTCCCCCCGTTCCCCGAGGACCCATCTCCCGGCGCCCCGGGGCCGGCCCCCTCCAACTTGCCCTCGCCCCCGAGCGTCACGTCGCGGAGGACCAGCTCGGCGAGGTCGCGGCGGTCGTCTACGGGGCCACCACTCGCGCCGCCGCCCGCCTCCACGAGGACGTCCCTCCTCGCCTCGCCCTTGGCCGCGCGCTTCGATTTGGAGGAGCCGGCGCCGCTAGGGCTCGGCGCGTCGGGCTCCGCGGCGCAGGCGCCGAGCCCCCTCGCCCGCGACGGCCGCGACTTGGTCCTCCCCATGCTGCGGCGGCGGGCTCAGGCGGCGGCCCGCCGGGGCATTGGGGCGAGGGTTTTTGCGCGCCGGAGCGGAATTGGGCCGGGCGGCCGCGAAATCCCCCGAATCCCTCGCGGCTGGGGCGCGGGGAGGAAGCAGTGGGCCGGGGGGTGGGCGCCGGGGATTTCGGTGGAGGCGGCGGCCGGCGCCGAGGAGATTGGATTGGAGGCTTCGCGCGGTGGATTTCCTATTCCCGGGGGACGCGAGAGGGGTTTTGCGCGAACGGGGAGGGAGATGGGGTGTGGGGGGGAGGGGGGAGATGAACAGGGGCAGTCGCGGTTAATTTTTGAAAGCGGGGAGGGTGATCTGGGATGCTGGTTAATGAAACGCGCGTCGTGTTGGACTTGGAAACCGTGAGCGTGAGAAGAGATCCGAGGAAGGGTTAATGAAACTGTTTGATAGATTCCCTACAAACCACTCCCCTCGTTCACAAATGCAGTAGAGTACTATATATACTATCTCCGTTTTAGTTTTACAAGTCCTACGTGTATATCTAGGTTGTCAATTTTATCATCCTAATATAAACTAACATAAAAATTATACCGTTTGAAAATAGAACGTATAAAGTTTATATTGGTATATTTTTTGTAACTAGCAAAAGAGCCCATGCGTTGCAACGGGAGATTTTTTTTCATAATCTCAATGCCCATGGCCACGCTTTGTTGCATCATCGAGATACACTATCACTCTCAATTTCGTGGAACCATGAACAATTTTTTAAATCATGATCATTTTTTAAAACTCGTGCACATATTTGAAATCATGAACTTTTTAAAATTGTGAACACTTTTTCAAAGTTTTTAACATTTTCCAAAATCAAGAATATTTTTTGAATTCATGAACATTTTATACTTGCAAACATTTTTTAAAATTGTGAACATTTTTTATTTTATGTGCAAATGGACAAACCAAATGATGGATGAAAATCTGGTAATAAGCAACATATAAAAAAAGGAGTAAGAAACATCCATGTCTTTAATAGAAAAATGGAAGTACTAATTAAGGGTGCAACATAAAAATAATTTCAAAAATAATTAACATGGAAGATAACATTATATTTAGAATGTACAAAATTTTCTGGGAAATTTAAAGTTGGGGTTTGAAAGATATGAATATTTTAAAAAATACTTGAATCTGCAAAAAAAGTTAAAAGAGAATATTTTGGCCGTATTGTACTGTGTAGACACACTGTTAAGCGACACTTGGCGAGGTAGCTCTATACTACGGCAATTGAAATTCGCAAAAAAAAGGGTGCAAAAATGGGGATGACCAGGTTTCGAACCAAGGTCTCCTGGATTGTGGAGAAACACCTAGGCCAATAGGCTGGTTTGTTTGTATTTTGTAAGGGCATTTCCTTACATGAACCAAGCTCTATCGGTGGCGGGTTAAGAAAGAAAAAAAGGGATCGTTTTTCTACTTATGGGTGGCATAGATGGGTAATTTTTACTAACTTAGAGGGTAATTTTAATGACGGACGACCAGAATCGGTAGCCGCTTTATTAGTAGGTAAAGATATATGACTTGTATTTGGTTGATGAAATTGACGATTTAGAGGTACGCGCACGCCCTGTAAACTGAGAGAGAGGGAGTATGATGCTTTAACTTTTTTTCTGAATCAAATATGTATAGGTATACATTTTAGCGTGTTTGTTCACTCATTTCAGTTTGTACGTAGTTTATATTGAAATAACCTAAACATCTTATACTCCCTCATTTCCGGTTTACAGGGCTTAAATTTGAAATCTCATCAACCAAGGTACTAGATGGTAAGTGGAGGAATAGTATCTCGTACTAGTTTACAAAATTATTCAAACTTTAATCTGCATTAAATACAGTGTATGCATTGATGATCATTAAATGAGTCGGAACGGTTATATGCATTGGTTGGTTTCTTTTAAAGCTTGCATGCATCAATTTAATGCACCTTAAAAATGTGAACATCGGTGAAAAGAAGTGAAAAAAAGACTTATAATATGGAAAAACCAATAATATGAGATAAGCCCAATAAATCGAAAAGGAGAGGGTATTTCTGAACGGAGGGAGTAGATGATACCCAACGACATTGTTGCGCGTAAAAACAGTGAGGCCATGAAATGAAATGTATAAATACATGCCTATTTGAACCATTGATAGAATGACACAAAAAAAAATCAAAGAAATTGTATTGTGGTCGATAAGTGCATTGGTAATATACTGATATATTGCAAAATATCGTTGATTGTATGAGTAAGTTTGTGACTTAATTATAAATATTCATATCATTCATACATTGGTAGTTCTTTGTTGAGTAAGAACTTGCTCCAAAAAATCAAGGTTGACACCTTAATCGTTGTACATTGTTCGTGAAGTGCACCGCGCTAACAATTCAGTTAAGCTCCCACTCTCCCGGTGCTCATGTAGACTCCGGCATCCTATGGATATCAATCATGGTCCAACTAAAAAATAGGGAAAGAAAAAAATACATGTTTTTTAAACTCTGGTGTACTTAAACAACATGATAATGCATACATGCATACCATGGAAAATGTTATCCTGTAATATAGTAGGGTAACATAATAATTGAGTAGCAACCGAGGCCTATGTCGGGCAGCAAAAATGTTTACCTATATCATCATGTCACTTTTCTAAAAGAACATATATCATAGAAAATCTCATCAAATGTAGTCGTTCATATAGAAGCAATGTGTCAATGTCTCAGTAGTGAACCTCCCAATATATTATTGTCTGGTGCAACATGTTTTCCATATAAAATGATGAAAATAAACCATTTGTTGTTGGGTGTAAAGAATGTATTTTTTTCTGTTATGGTACAAAATATTCAAGGAGTACTACTATCACAGATTCAAAAAAGTTTTACAAATATTACAATAATATTTCTAGCAAGTAGAATACAAACTCCTTGTTTAAAACATGAAACTGGTATTATTAACTTGCGCCATTTACGTATAATAAGTGCACTATCTCCGATCACCCGAAGCCCGCTGAAAATCACGGGATGGCCGGTACTTAAAGTGCATAGACAGCTCCAACGATCGGATTTAGCGTTCCCTATATATACCCCTCTCCCACTCCGGAAGAGGGTCGACCACTTCATTTCAAAACACCCAAGACCCCTAAAGTGCCCCCTCTCACTTCCTCTACACCAAAACCCATACCCCCAAGGCATTTGTGTGAGTTCTTTAGAAAAACCCCATAAAGTGATAGATCCACTTCTTCTCCCTCTTTTTTCGATAAATGGTAGATTTTATTGATACGAAATGGGGCATCAAGAAGATACATAACACAATGAGCACACACATGGCCTCGGCATAGCTAGGACCAAAGCAGGTCATGATTTGAGCAAGTCTTGATCATTTCCCCATTGATCTTGTTACTCTCGGAGGTTGGAGACTCCTAGTTGGTAGGAGTTCTTCGGAGAGGAATCATTCATTGTTGTTAACCCCGGATAGTTTGTGGAGGTTTCGAGACCACCACAAGGGGTACCACCGGTGGTTGAGAATCGCCTTTTTGGTGATATCTCAAGGGGATAATAGGCGAGCCTTCGTGGTAACATCTGCCCCTTCATCGGTGACTTAGCTTCCCTCCAAGGAAGTCGGGATACATTCTTGTCTTCGGAGTTTCGGTTATCGCTAACCCTAACTCTCTACTTGTGGTTATTTGTCTCTTACCTTACTTATATCATACTGTGTTTGCTAGCATCTCTATTGTCGTTGTTGTTGAACTACTAATAGCACCAATGTTCCCTTTGCAATTGTGCGCATATATGAAACTAAATAAGTTTAAGGAAGGAGGAGATTTTAGTTAACCAGATATTTGTTTTAGTTTCTTTTTCATATATACATCTTTTCCCCCGTGTTTCTTGCATGTTCAAACTGTATCTTTGTTGGAGTAAAGATTTTTTTGTTGTCATTGCACTAAGTGCATCTTTCATATTGTAAATCGGAAATTTAATATGTTATGATCTGTCATTATAGTTGAGTAGGCAACAACAATTCCATCTATAAATCATACGTACAACAATCGTTCGTTCGGATTCGTGAGGATTATTTCATAGATTTGTTAAAATATTAGAAAGGTGCCCATTTGATGCTAGGGTGAAAGATGGCCGACTTATGCAATGAAATGACGACAACACTAGAGCAAAGGTAGACGAAGATGATGGAGGTCGCCGGGGAGAAGTAGGTAGAAAGACGTCCAGAATTGATATTTGTCACTATATGAATAATCATCCTGAAACACGTGTTTTCAAATTAAAACATTTTCTCTCAATGTATATTTTTCTGTTATACCGTGGCAACGCACATTTGATGTCATATGGATATGGCTTTGTGGGGATAAGCAGTGTGTGAGGTGCCCATGGAGGAACGTGGTTCAAACTAGTAACCATGATTATTGTTTCGTACCAACCAGGTGCTACATTTAAATTTGTATATAGTGCAAATCACCTTACGTGGCAATGTGCGCATAATGAAACTAAATAAGTTCAAGGAAGGAGGATACTTTAGTTAACCAGATCTTTGTTTTAGTCTTTTTTTTCATGTATATACATCTTTTCCTTTGTGTTTCTTGCAATTTCGAACTGTATCTTTGTTGGAGTCAAGATAAAAAAAATGTCATTGCACTAAGAGCATCTCCAGAGCGCGCACAAAAAACTTTAGCGTACAGGTGTGCGTGGGGGCTGCTGCAGGTGGGGCTGCCGGATTGGGCGTTGTGTTTTTGTGCATCTGAAAAACCTCTTTGTCCCTCCCGCGCATAAAAAAACTATTTTGACGATGTAAAAGAATTATACCGTGCTGAGACGAAGCGCGCGTGTTGGAGATGCTCTAAGTGCGTCTTTCATACTTACAAATTAGAAATTTAATTATGCCATGTTATGTCATTATAGGTGAGTAGGCTACAACAATTCCATCTGTAAATCATACATACAACAATCGCTCATTCGGATTCATGAGGATTGTTTCATAGATTTGTTAAAATTTTAGAAAGATGCCCATGTGATGGTAGGACGAAAGATGACCGACTTTTGTAGTGAAAAAACGACAACGCTAGAGCAAAGGCAGATGAAGATGATGGAGGTGGCCGGGGAGAAGTAGATAGAAAGATGTTGAGAGTTGTACTTGGTCACTCTATGAACTAGATGACGCTCCGCACGTTGTTGCGGGAATGTTTTGCAATACTTCAATGAGGTTTTGGTTATGTGAAACATGAATATTTGGAATAATAGTTCTGTATGAATATAAGAATTAAAGGTAAATAGCATAATACGGTGAAATTTTCATGCATGCATGTTTGCATGTTGAGGTGGGTTTTTATTATGCATAGTTGCGTGTTGAGGTGAGCCTTTTTCATGCATGTTGAATGATGAGGTGGCATGCTTGTATGTTGAGAGAAATATATTAATGGGGGCTAACTATTTAAATACTAGATGATGCCCCAGACGTTATTGCAGGAATATTTTTGCAGTATTTTAGTGAGATTTTGGCTAAATGAAACATAAATATTTGAAATAATAGTTTTTAAAATTATATAAGAATTAAATTTAATACCATAATAGAATGGATTTTTCATGCATGCATGTTTGCATGTTGAAGTGGATTTTTAATATCCATAGTTGCATGTTGAGGTGGGCCTTTTCTATGCATGTTGAATGATGAGGTGTCATGCTTGCATGTTGAGAGAAATATGTTAATGAGGCTAGCTATTTAGATATAGAAGATAGAAGATAATCATCATGTTCAACAAACGTTTTCAAATTAAACCTCGTATGTCAATGTATATTTTTCTGTTACCCCGTGGCAACTTACAAACATTCAGCTAGTTAATGTAACAAATGAACTTGATTTTAGAACTGTACTTGGTCAGTTAAAACTTTCAGAAAGGACCTGAAGATCTTCGCTAGATCTTCCCTTATCCTGAGAATCACAACATTGAGAGACTGAGTATCTACACTTCTGCAACATTGTTGCACTCAAAAATGAAGAAATCAACCAAATGTGCACACCACCTCACCAATCTAACCAAACGGTAAATCTAAACAACAATCCACTCTGCCTATCAGAATTCCAACACCCGAAAAATACCATCAGAATTCCATGGCCTGAACTGAAACTACCTTCTTTCTACAGTATATACGACGAGCCGAGCTCCTCTGCCGCTACCTGATCCTGATGGCTCCCGCCGCCGGAACCCCGTGGCCGGGCGTCCAGCCAGATCTTCTCCCGTTCGACCGCCTCAGCGTGCAACTGTCGTCCGAGTCCTCGTCGCCGGTGAAGTCCTCCACGCAGATGCCCTTCCCCTTCCTGTCGTCGTGCCGCCTGCTGGCGTCCGACGGCGGCGTCGACCTCTTGCCGGGGCTCCCGTACTCGTACAGGCTCGGGGAGCGCCGCAGCAGCAGCTCGCTCGCCGAGCCGTACCCCATGAGACGGTGCAGGCTGTGGCTGTGCCGCCGCGCCGCCGCCGCCTCCTCCCCCGCCGCGACGACGGTGTCGAAGGACGAGTTCCTCGACACGTGCAGCGGCTGCTCGTCCTCCGTGGTGGAGTAGCTGCTCGCCCCGTACTCCGCCGCGAAGTCCTCGATGAACGAGAACAGGTCCGGCCGCGCACCGACGTGGCGCGCGGGGGAGGAGCCGGCCGTGCTGCACTCGTCGGCGGGCTTCTTCCTGTCCGGGTCGCGGTAGGAGTAGGAGAGCACGGCCGAGCAGGCGCCGCACCGCAGGTCGCGCACCTTGGCGCTCGCCACGGCGAACCCCGCGGGCACCTGGACGAGCGTGAAGCAGCTGGAGCAGACGATGAACGGCGCGCCCTTCAGGACCGGCCGGCAGTGGTGCCTCGGCGGCGGCGCGCGCTTCTTGGCCTCCGCTGCGGCCGGCCGCGCGGGTTCCTGCGCTCTCGACGGGCGGCAGCAGTGCCCCCTGCAGCTGCCGCACTCAGGCTTGACGTGGTCGCAGCAGCTGTGCCGGCATGCTCCTGCCGGGCGCGCGTCGTGGCCGCCGCACGGGTCAGCCCTGCACCGGCGATACCGCCGCGACGGCAGACCGCGGAGGGTAGCCTGTCCGTGCTTGCCCGCGTTGCCGCGGTGGTGCAGAGCGGCCGCGGTGGTGGCATGGCGAGCTCTGCTGGTAGGGACGGCCGGGTGAGGGGCGTGGCCTTCTTGCCTGGGACGACGAGGCGGACGCGATGGTGTCCTTGGCTTGGCCTCCGGAGGCTGGCTGAAGAGCTCGGAGAGGTCGCCTTTGAGCTCGTCCACCGTCTTCAGGATCTTCTCGTGGAGGGGACTCATCTTCTGCGGCGCGTGCCGAGGAGGGCTCGGTGCCTTTTCCTCCGTCACAGCCGGCACCGGCGCCGCCGCGGCATCGTCTCGCTGTTTCCAGCTCGCCGCTGCCGGCGCAGACCGGGAATCCGCGGCGCGATCAGGCATTGGCGCAGCTTCCGCTCTGCTTGGCCTTGGACTTTTCTTCCTCGCGGCATCAGTTTCAGGCTCGGCATCACGTGCCCTCTCTGAACCTCGCATCTCGGCGAAGTTTGCACCGGCGGCGGGAGCACTGACCGCGCCCCTCCCCCTGCGATGTTCGGAGCTGCCACCAGCTTCCTCCTGATCGGCACTCCGGTGATGGTGATCATGCCCCTTCTTCTCGACGATCGGCGGCGATTGCGCCGAGGAGTGATGCTTCCTCGCTGGCGTTTGATCGCCGCTCGTGCCCACGGCCCTGCCGGTCTCGCGTCGGCTTGTCGTGCCGGCGTCCCGGGGGCTGGTGGTTCGAACATCAGGAGTCGGGGCGGGGGCGCTGGTGCTCGCGACATCCCCGGAGCCAAAGTGGCTGCTCTGAGTCTGGCTCCGGCGAGGAGACGGCAGGACACTCGCTGAAGACGGGGCAGCACTGGCGTTGGGAGCACTGACCGCACCCCTTGTGATGCGCGGTTGAGAACTGCCAGCAGCTTCCGCCTGATCGGCACTCCGGTGGTGATCACGCCCCTTCCTCTCAACGACCGGCGGCGTGAGATCACCGGCCTCGCGTCGGCTCGTCGTGCCGGCGCCTCGGTAGCTGGTGCTCGGGGCGTCAGGAGTCGTGCCACTGGTGCTCGGAGCGTCAGGAGTCGTGCCACTGGTGCTCGCGACATCCCCGGAGCCGCCCAACTGGCCGCTCTGAGCCTGGCTCCGGCGAGGAGACGGCAGGACGCTCTCCGTGGACGGAGCAGCGCTGACGGACGCGCCGCGCGTGTCGCCGCCGGGGAGTTTCGCTGCGCAACCAGAAAACGAAATCCAATCAGAAACCCGGGACAAATTACATGGAAATGCGAAGATCCAATCACCGGAGTGGAGCTCGAATTTACCTCGGAGGCTGGCGCCGCACCCGCCGCATTGGTACACGGGGACGCCGGCGGGCTCCTGGAGGACGCTGCGGCACCTGGGGCACCTCACGTGGCGAGCCCCGCCGCTGGTGTCCGAGATCGCCATGAGCCGACAAGGCCCCAGAGCATCACTCGATCAATCAAATTCGCGGCCTGCGTTGACAGATGAAAGCATAAAATCGTCAGCGCTTTGGCACCAATTTCTTCGTCCAATTTGTTGTTTCCGGAAAGGAGGAAGAACAGGACGGAGGCACTCGAGCACAGCTAACAGAAAGCGCACCCACTCACCGCAAAATCTCCCACTTTCCCTCGGCGTCCACTTTGCGTGCTCTTGCAGCTTCTTCTTCCTCCTCGGAATCGAGCCGCCTCTCCTCCAAATCCAATCCTTGGAAGCTAGCTATATGTAGGCAGCTCTCGCTAGTCGTCGCGGGAGTCCAGACCGGGCAGCCCGATGCGGCTCTTCTTCTTGTAGTACTCTACGTGCGATGGAAGCGAGGAGGCAGAGAGACGCGTCCCTGTTGGGCTTGCGAGCAATAGAATAATGGCGAGGTTTGGAGTGGAGACGGAGGAGCTGAGCTCATGTAAAACGATGCGCGCGCGCAGGAGAAATATTTATATGCGCTGGGTGGGGCGAGGAGGAGGAAGGAGGCGGGCTGGTGTGCGCGGCCGCGGCTGACCGCTTCAACGACAGGGACGACCGGTGCGCTCCCCGCGGGATTCGGCGTTGGCTTTGGCTGGCGAGCGAGCGATCGAGTGGCGTCCGGGCCGAGGGGGGGCGACCGTGTCGCCGACGCCAGTCACGCTGCCACCGCGTCGTCCTGGTCGCGCCCCGGCTGGCCCTTCTGGGCGTCCACCGTGGAGCCGCGTGTGGCCCCTTTTCCGCGGTGATCGTGCTGGTAACTGGTCGCGCCCGCCCGCTCACTGTCGCTGGGAGGAGACCATCACCAGGAAAAGTGAAGGAAACGGATGAAATCTGGCTCCGCGGCCCCCACCCCGGCATTGCCATGCGCGCGCCGGGCCGTCGTTTTCCGAGCACAAAATCTTAGATCTGCGTTTGTTTTCGGGATGTTCTTTGTTTATCTTTGCTTCGGGCCACCCTCCACGCACGGAAGGGAAGCAAGCCAAGCCAAGCCGCGTTGTTTGGTCAACCCGGTCAGTGCGGAACGGAATAGTAGCAGGCGTTCGGTCTGTACTCCAAGAAGGGGTGAGAAAACGGAGTGAGGTGGAGTATAAACAAGGACTTGTCGTGGCGGCGAAAGTCGCGGGTGGCGACCGGAGGAAGTTGGGCCTCGCGCGACCCGTTCACGTACGTACGTAATAACGAGGATCGTTGCCATGTCGCCAATTGCCAAAGATGGCGCGGCACGGTCGCCAGCGACATCACGCCACACCGTAGCAGCGTCACGCGGGCCGAATAAATGAGGCGAGCTTGAGATGGAAAAAGGCGTTTTTTGGCGGCACGCTCTCTCTCGTCGCCGTCCTCGGTGCCACGGGGCGCGCGAGCCGCGCGTTTTTGTCAACGGCGACGAGCTCCGGGTTGCACGGCTGTGGCAGGTGGACGGTGGGCGGTGCCGCGCCGGCCGCCTGGCGTGGCCCCGCATACAACTGCAGCTGCGAACAGTCGAGGCGCACTGGCATGGCACCGCCACCGACCGGCGCGGGTCGTCACCTACCGCCGCCTAGTTGTTTTCGGTCCGCCCACACGGGGAGCGCGGCCGCTGGTCCCTTGCGCACGGGAGCCCTGGATATATTCGCCTGGTCGTGTACAACGTGACGATTCTGCGGCGGGAAAGATATCGCGTCCGCGTGTGCCCATGCATGGTCTGCAACGCCAAGTTGAAGGCGAGCGTGTGCCCATGATGTTCCTTTTTTTCTTAAAAAGAAAAAATCAGCAAAAGGGCAAGTGTATTTTTTAACTCCACACGGTGCAACTTATATATTTCAGTCCGAGATGAAGATGTGGGTCATGGGTGTGTCTAGTCAGAGCAACTCCCACCAAAGCACACATTGTCACGTGGATGTGTTCTGCAAAGCAGTGATAGGAGCCAGAGCCAATCAAACGCAGACATCAAATCCGGATCATGCGCTATGGCTGATGGTAGCCCAAACGGACTGGGAGAGGATAAATAGACAAATGGGGATTAACGACTTGTTGCCGATGGAGACTGCTGAAGTAAACTAGTGATATTAGAGCATCTACAACCGGGCTCTCCAAACCCTTTGTAAGCCTGGACAGACAGTCTGGTCACCGACCGGTCAAGAAAACACGAACCATGTGGGCGCCACATAGCGTCGGTAAACCTCCGGGCTGACCAGAATCCCTCATATCTAGCTAAAAAGTGGGGCAGATATGGGGAAGCCCGGGCACGTTCGCCACGTCGGACTCGATAGGGAGGACACACCGTAAATTGCAACTTGTTGGACCAGCCATTTTCCTCTACTCTCTTCCCCCTCGTCCGTGCCGGCCCTCCCTTATCTTCGTTGTCGTACCGAGCCATCAACGCCATCAGCATGCGTGACAACACTTCTCCCCTATACTCTCGCCGCCACAGACACTCTAGTTAGCCCGAACACCTCCATGGTACATTCGGCTCCTCTCAGTCTGCATCTTGCCCTCAATGAGCTCGACACATTGTTCGACCAGTTTTTTTGTGATTGTTTTGTAGGCAAGACGATGGATTCGGATGGTTCATCGAATGAGGACTATGCACCGACAAAGCTTGATGAATTAATTCAAATGGAGATCGTTGATTCGTAGGATTCGAACGAAGAAACGGAGATGTTGATGATCGTGAGCATCCAACGAGAAATGGGCCGAGAGGTGGAGCACATTCTAAACTTCAAGGGTTCGATCAACAGTAGAAGAGTTCTAAACCGGGATAGGGTCTTCGAAGCACGGCTGCTCTACGAGGACTACTTTAATCCCGAACCAACATTCTTGATGAATGGTCTCGTCGATGCCTCTGTATGCCAAACTCTTGTTCTTGAGTGTGGTGGAAGGAGTGGAGGCACATTATCCCTACATCAAGTTCATCGGGAATTGTTGCGAAGAACTGTCGTTATTTGCTAAGCAGAAATGCATGGCTATTATGAGCATGCTTGCACTTAGTACCGTCACCGATGCCGTTAGTGAGATGGTACGGATGGGAGAGAGCACATGCCTAAAGACAATTGTTAAGTTTGCCCGTGCTGTGGTGGAGGTTGTTTGGAGCAGAGTGTCTAAGAGAACCAAATGTGCAAGATGCATAAAAGGTTATTGGCTATTGAAGAGGCAAGAGGTTTTTCAGTTATGCTTGGTTCAATTGATTGCATGCATTGACAATGAAAGAATTTTCCCAAAGGTTTGTGCAGGATGTATCAAGGTCACACCGCAAAGAGGCCACCATCATATTGAAAAAGTGGCATCACATGACTTGTGGATTTTGCATGCTTTCTTTTGAACGTCTTTTTCTCACAACGACATTAATGTGCTTTAGTGATCTCCCGTGTTTAAGAGACTTTGTAGAGAAACGTCGTTGTGCAGCTTCAATGTCAACAGCCGTGACCACGGCATGGGGTACTACCTTGCCGATGGTATCTATTCTCAGTGTGGCGACATTTGTGAAGACCATATCTGATCCCTGCGGAAACAAGCAAATCCACTTTGCAACAATGCAAGAAGCAGTTAGGAAGGGCGTGGAGAGGGCATTCGGGGTACTCCAAGCTCATAGGGGAATTGTTCGTGGAGCTGCAATAATATGGGAATTAGAGACTTTATGGCAGCTAATGACATGTTGTGTCATCTCCCAGAATTCCAGAATATGATTGACGAGGATGAGGTGAAGGGGTAGCTCGAACCCATGGTTTTGGCAAACCCGGGGAACAAGTCAACAACCCGGAACAACAAGACGAATGTGAGCTTACTAATTTTCTGCAAATGCATGAGAATCTTCGAGATCATCACATGCACACATAACAATTCAATGATGTTGTAGAGCATATGTGGACCCACAACAAAAGCCAATGAATTATGCACTCTTTTTAATGTTCGAACTATGTATTTTTGCCACCAATGGTTGTTATTTACGTGTGATATTCACGTGTATCATGGACGTGCATGGACATGCATTAATTTGAGAAAGTGCGCCTGTTTGACAGCCAATATGAGGGGCCGTCCGGGATTGTATGTGGTTGCGTCCACGGGTGTGTTCGTGGAAGTTTAGGGGTGCGGATTGGCCAAGTCTAGCTTAGATTGGATGAGATTCTACATGGGTGATTAGAGATTTTATGTTTTATGTTACCTCCATGCTAGTTCCTATTCAAAATTTAAGTATATAATAACTTATAAAAGTTACAATGGTCTTTCCTGTGCCACATTAATCACATATGTAAAACTCTCAAAGGTATGTAACTATACGAAACTCCAGACAAGGTCAAATTCAATGTATTTTGTGACGACTAATCATTGTAGCCAATGCATCGCCTTTTTTCTTCAGAAATTCACTTGGAAGAGAGGTTTTCAAGCTGAAATTCCATTAAAAAAGGCCAAGAGAAAAGGTGGGCAAGGTTTTACGTACATGGCAAACACAAGCGAGATGAGAAAAACCTAAGCTCACGAGCACATTACAACCCACTCACACAAACGAGAGCTAGGCTTCGACATCATCCCGATGATCGGTTGGTAGGCGCACAGGGTAGAGGACGGCATCGTCTTGCAGGCCCTGCAGATGAGTGAGAGTCACAGAGACTACCCCTAAAGACTATTTCGTTCGTGTGTCTGCATAGGTGCCAAAGACCTAGGAGGCGAGAAATTGTAAACCAGTGCGCCATGACGAGGCGGGAAGAGGGCAAATGGCAACATCGTAGGCAGTCGTGTGCGGTTGGGGGGGGGGCTCAATTCTGGTTCACTCATCTCAGATCCAACGGTTGGAATTGGAGGCAATGGACATGCTTTTTTTTAGGGATATGCTTTTGCTTTACCCATGTTGGCAGTGACAACTCAAGCATATCCAATTCGCGGGAAATCCTCTTTTCCCCTTGCATAAGTGGGACCCACCCGGCGGCGCGGCTAATCTGGCCATAACCAACCACCCACCCACTGGAAGTGGGCCTCACCCAGGCACCCAGCCCGCGTAGTTGACCGGACGCGGCGCGCCCCGTCCGTCCGTCGCCCGTCGCCTTTCCCCTCCTCCCCCAGGCCGCCCACCTCGCTCCACCAACCGCGCTCCTCGCCCACCGCCCGGAGCGGAGCTCGCCGGGGCGTCGCCGGCACCGCGCGCACCTCCGCGGATCACGCAAGGTGAGCTCCCCCACCCCCTCCCCGCGGTTTGGTCTCGCCCCTTATCTGAACTACGATTTACTGACGGACGCAGCGCTCGCGGGAAGTGAGAGAGCAGATAGACTAGCCCCGCGCCTTCGGTTCCTCGATCTGGGTTTGTCCGCTGGATTGGCTCTCTCTCTCTCGCTTACCTCTCGTTCCCCACTGCGGATCTCGTGGTTTCTGGGGTGATGGCTTGGTTGCAGTGATTTCGATGCGGTCGAGCGGGGAAAGAGTAGCGTGCGGTTTTAATCTTTGCTGTGTCAGTGGGGTGGAGTTCGATCTATATCGGGAATCCGTTGCTAATTGATTGGTTGTTCAGCAAAGGAATGCCGATGCTAGGCTGAGTCGAGGTGTTGAGCATAGCGTGGTTAGGATGGTAGGATTGTGGAAGTTGGAAGTACAATTTTGGACTAAAGGCACGTTGTCCTGCTTTTAGAAAGCATGTATGCCTTTGTGTTCTAAGAATCTGGAAGTAACTTTCGAGAAATCTTTTCTCCTTGATAGATTGCAAAGCTCCAGCTTCCTTGTGCTGGGAATTTAGTACACTATGCACACTGTTCACTGTTCAGGATGTTTGAGGGCATTCAAGATGCTCGAACTGCTGATGATGCAGTGATGCACCTTACATATCTGTAAGTGGTGAAGCCGCAGAGTCATCCGCCGGCTTCTTCCTTGCTGATTGCTGTGTGGGAGCTTCAAATGAGGCCAGTGATAGGTGCTGATGGTCGGTGATGCAAACTGAGATCCTGCCAGTAGTCAACTGATTGTCCCTTAGTTTTGTTGATGTCGAGAGAGTTTTCCTGCAACACATGATTGCTTCTGGTGTCAGTGAAGGTTTAAATCCTAGCAAGATAAATATTCTTAGAACTGACTACAGTAACCGTTTGTACCATGTTCTTATAGATTCCCCTACAGAAGATATTGGTCGTTTGCACAGGGTATCCCTATCTAATACTTGTCCTGCAAATGTTGCTTTCCTTTTTAGATTTCTTCCAATACTAGATGAGACTGACAATTTATCTGTTCTGTGTCCGTTTTAGATTTCTGCTTCACGAGTCCAGGAAGAACAACACTGGCATCAAGCAAGTCATATTCAGCAGGGAACAGCAGCATCGTTTTGATCTGCCTTTTCGCAGGATACTTGGCCAATTCATAGTGGAAACTTCAACTTGTTCAAGGCCTCTCTGTTCACAGCAGTACATCATTTTACATCCTTGGAAATTGTGGAGCGAGCCTACTTGAGAATGCAATGTAGCAGGAGTCATTAGTTTCAGTAAGTCGGAGACTTGCCCTGGAGCTGCCATACTCGGCTGCATTGGCCTTTGATAGATGGTTTTTTCTCAGACATCCTCTCTGGCAGTAAAGCTTGCACAAGGACCCAAGCTCTTTACTACAAAGACAATTCTCCCCATGGATCCCCCGGGCGTTGTCTCCTCTGAAAATGCTGAATATGATTTCTCTGATGTTTTTGGTTCCAGTCCAGTCGAGACAGCAACAGAACTTTGTGTTGTTGATCCTGACAGCCCTGCAGCTCCCGTTGAGTCCCCTGAGGAGGTTTATAATGATCCTGCGGTCATCTTCAAGCGGTCACATTCTCTTGTTGGTCCATCATCACTTGTTAGCTGCTCTTTGGGACTTGGCAAGCTCACTCTAAACATAGCAGATGGATCATCAGAACTTGTAGGTCACACTACAGAAGAAAAGGAACTTAACCTAGAGCAGTTCAGTGATGAAGAGTTTGGTGATGCCGTGACTGAGGATGAGGGTGTTGGGCTTGATGACTTTGAAATCTTGAAGCTTGTAGGCCAAGGGGCATTTGGCAAAGTCTTTCAGGTGAGAAAGAAGGGTACTTCAGAAATATATGCAATGAAAGTCATGAGGAAGGACAAGATACTGGAGAAAAACCATTCCGAGTACATGAAAGCTGAAAGAGACATACTGACAAAAGTTGACCATCCTTATGTAGTGCAGCTGAGGTACTCCTTTCAGGTAGGTCATGTGTATACATATTGTCATCTCTGCGTTGGCATTCATATCTTGGTACAAACATTCAAACAGTTTGCCTGTGCAGACCAAATATCGACTTTACCTTGTCCTGGACTTCGTAAACGGGGGGCATCTCTTCTTTCAGCTCTACAAGCAAGGATTATTTAGGTGCTGTTTCACTTGTTAGTAATTTTGTTTGCTAAAAGATAGCTGCACATGCCTTTAAACTAAACCCTTTCATATTAACAGGGAGGAACTTGCACGAATCTATACGGCTGAGATTATATCTGCTGTAGCCCACCTCCATGCTAATGGGATTATGCATAGAGATCTTAAGCCCGAGAACATCCTATTGGATGCTGAAGGCCATGTAAGAATTCTTTGTTGCAACCAACAATCCCGTTTTGTCTTCTCTTTGATTATCTGACATCTATTTGCTTGTGCCGCTGTTATAGGCCATGCTAACTGACTTCGGCCTTGCGAAAGAATTCCGTGAGAACACCCGATCAAACTCGATGTGTGGCACTCTCGAGTATATGGCCCCTGAAATTATTCAGGGCCAGGGGCATGATAAGGCCGCAGATTGGTGGAGTGTAGGAATCCTCCTGTTTGAAATGCTGACGGGCAAGGTGAGTTGCATATTTGTATGGGATGTCAAGCTTATCATCCGAGAGGTTTTCTGTGCAGACGTGTCATGGCTTATAACTTCCTACTCTTTGCAGCCCCCGTTTGTTGGGAACAGAGACAAAGTTCAGCAGAAGATAGTGAAGGAGAAGTTGAAGCTTCCTCCGTTTTTGACTAGTGAAGCTCACTCACTGCTGAAAGGAGTACGTTTTCCAACTTGTTTGATTTCATTATACATCATGTAGTAACTCATAGCACAAATAGTACCATATAGAGGTCTTACAGAACAAAAAACAGCATGAGGGAAACTGGCCAGTTAACTGTTTTATTATCTAAAATATTGCAATATTTCAGTTGCTGCACAAAGAGGCCGGCAAGCGGCTGGGAACCGGACCTGGCGGCAGCGACGAGATAAAGAAGCACAAGTGGTTCAAGCCGATCAACTGGAGGAAGCTGGACGCCAGGGAGATCCAGCCGAGCTTCCGGCCCGACGTCGCCGGCCTGACCTGCATCGCCAACTTCGACGTGTGCTGGACCAACACGCCCGTGCTGGACTCCCCGGCCGCCACCCCCGTCACTGCCGGCGGCGGGCAAGGCAACTTCGCGGGGTTCACCTACGTCAGGCCCGCGCCGTTCCTCCATGACCTGAAGCCGCCCTCGAGCTCTAGCTAGGCTGCAAGGTTCACTCTAGTGCGCCCGAAACGGGTGTGCGCAATTTTGATCTAGTTCATTCACTGAACCGCTGTGTTCTATGGCCTGTATGATGTATAGATTCTTGTGCATCTGCTTTACTTGCGGCAATGAGAAGTTGGAAACAGAGAGCAACTAGAGAAGTTGAGAAGTCGGCCCTTTCTCTGCTCCTTTTTCACTCAATGATTCCTTTGAATTTGCCGACCAAAAATTCTATGTCTATTCTATGTCCGACAATGGCACCGACTACTAGGATGACCACGGTGAAGCCAAGGCCATGGACAAGCTCAACTCCACCTTCTGGCAGGGGGTCGGTCTGATCGGATGCGTGCAGTCGCGTGTCAAGAAGGTGGTGTTCGATCAGTTCACCGGGGGGACAAACCAGGTTGCGTTCCTGAAGCTGGCCCTTGGGCGAGCCGTGCTGCTGCTGCAGGAGGTGACAGTCATAAACTGCAGCCGTTGGCTTCCAAGAGAATGTGGGCCAGTAAGGTCTCGGACAAACCTTCTTTTGCTGAACTGCAGCCGTCGGCTTCCAAGAGAATGTGCGCCAAGACAAACTTTCACAGATTAGTGATATTTTGAATTGTTTTCATTTTTCACTCAATGATTCCTTTGAATTTGCCGACCAAAAATTCTATGTCCGCTGACAAATTCTTGAATTTCTGAATTGTTTTCATTTTTTTTCTGGATACTTTGAACTTCCTAACCAAATCCAGTCAGATTTTTAAGCTGAAAGTTGAGAAGCATGAATTTCTCAAACCAATGATCCACGTGAGCTGAAACTTTCTCAGATCAGTCATATATGCATTCTTCAATTTCTGGGATTTTTTGTAATATGTCTGGAAACTTTGAAATTTCTGTTAAAATTCAGTCAAATTTTGAAGCTAAACGTCCAGAAGCATGAATCTCTCAAACCAATGGTTCCCGTTAGCTGAAAGTTTCCCAGATTAGTTATATATCTGCGCTTCAATTTGTGGAATTGTTTCAAAATTTTCTAGGGAATGAACCTTGCCTATAGTCATATTGATACATGGATCTCTCAAAAGTTTCCCAGAACCATTTGGACAGCATTTAGACCATACCAGGGCTCAAAGCAAAGCACATACAACACATGGAGAAGCAACCTCCAGAACTCTTCTTGCCTACTGCCATACTGACATAATAATATTGACCTCGACAGAAATATAAATAACATCAAAGACTTGCTTACATGTGTTTCTCGCTGTGAATTCCACTACAGGTTGGAATACATGGCCCAAACAAAGGCTGGTGAAGATAAGGGGATGAATCATGGAAAACTTAAGAGCCATAAACAGAAATAGGCAAAAACATGCTAGAAAAGCTGGATTATCATAACCTGTATGTCACCAGCACAAAGCATGGCCTGAGCGTTCTAAAACAAGATTGGTAAAATGGCATCTCTTATAAGACATGATGCACATTCGAAACACACACTACTACTGTCATCGAGCTTGGCTCTGATTTGTGAAACAACGTACTGATATTCAAATAAACTAGCAATCTGATTCAACACAATTTAGCAGAACAGAGAAAATTGACTTTTAACAAAACATCTTGGCCTTTTACATTAGTTCCAAATACCTCACTGATTTTTTTGAGGAACATTAGTACAGAGCCGTAATCAGCATACTAATTGCACAGAAACTAAACATCGATTATGCTCTCACCACCAACATCGATTATCCAGTCACACCATCAACACATACATACCATATTACTCCCTCCGTTCCTAAATATAAGTCTTTGTAGAGATTTCACTTGGTGGACTACATACGGAGCAAAATGAATGGATCTACACTTAAAATGCATCTATATACATCCATATGTAGTTGATAGTGGAATCTCTACAAAGGCCTACATTTCGGAACGGAGGGAGTACAACCAAAAGCACCCTACTACATACATACCACGAGCCTATTTTCAAGTTGCAGCACAGCCCTAATAGACACCATCTCCAACCCTCAACACATCAGCCTGACCTCCAGCATCCGCATCATCGGCAGTACTCTCATCGTGATGGCAATCTACGCGCCCTTCAGCTTAGGGTGTGTTTGGTTGAGGAACCGACTGTCACGGAATGGAATGGTTCCATTCCAGAGGAACGGGTCGGTTCCGTTCTTGTGTTTGGTAGGTGCAAAAAAGTAGAACAGGTTGGTTCCATTCCAGTGTTTGGTTTGGAAGAATGGAAGAACCGAAATTCAAATTTTTGGCAGCATTTCATTTGTATGTTCAAGAAAAAAACAACATAACAATATATATTGACAAAGAACACAATTTCCAGCAATATCATAAGATGGCAATCATGTAGCAGGTTCATTTGGTACATCCAAAAGCAATCAGCACATACATGTCTTTCACATACAAATAGGCAGTACATGTCTTTCACATACAAATAACCAAGGAAAGTGCACTACAGCCATACATGTTTACATACCAAACATCCAAAAGCAACCCAATGGCACTACAGCCATACATGTTCACATACCAAACATCCAAAAGCAACCCAATGGCACTACAGCCATACATGCCAAGTTCACATACTTGACAACCATATCAAATTTAGAAGTTCTTCTTCACATACCTACTCACCCAAACAGATTTGTTGGTTTCGGAAAGCTTCATGAAGGCCCTTGCAGTCTTGGGGTTGTCAACAAGATGAGCATAGTAATGGGCAAGGTGTTCTTCATCAAATTCTTTCAAACAAGAGACTACATCCCAAAGGTCATCGGGTATATCATCATCATCTCCACCAGATTTCACAAGAGCTTCAGCCACAAGTTTAAACCCATCTTTGAGAATGGCACCTAGTGGATCCTCTAGAACTTTCACCACCTTGGCCTTCTTTTTTGGTGGTCCTTTGGGGTCAGAAGACTCACCAACTTGCGGTGACGTGTTGATCTCACCATTCACCTCACCATTCTCCTCATCATCGACGTCAATAGAAAGGAGATCATTTCCAGACCTTGCATTCATCCCTTTAGCCCCGGTTGTTCCAAAAATGGTCGCCATAGCATGATAGTGTTCAATTGAGTTATTCAAGAAGGGAGCATCAGGTTTGTGGGTCTACAAAAATTTTGCAAGTCATTAGCATAATGAAGGCAGAAAATGAGATGATATCGTTCATACTATAAGAAGCTTACCATACAATGACCTGCATAGTGCTCATCGCTGAGCCTAATTGTGCAAGTATCTTCATCCCATAGAGCTCCACTTAAATTCTTCAAATTGACAACCCTGACCCAAATCTTCCTCCACTTCTTGAGATGGTTTCTAACTTGATCAGAGGTGATAGTTAGCTTGAATTGCTCGTTCAAAACAGCAGCACATTGTTTGAGATGTGTCTCCCTGAATCCACTAGAAGTTCTCTTCCCTTTAGCAACAAGGTCAGCCAAAAAACCTAGCATAGTGTTGGTCATGGAAGTGGTCCATACAATGACCCCACTTTTCCCGGAGTTTCCACTTGCAGCGGTAACTTCAACATTGTCCATTTCTGTCCAGTCATCAAAAAATTGCAAAAGAATGGACGAAATCATCACAAATATATGGTTTGACATAATAAATACCACAATCAGTCCAGCCATCAAAATGTTGCAATAAAAAGGATGAAATCATCACAAATATATGATTTGACATAATAAATACCACAATCTGTCCAGCCATCAAAATGTTGCAATAAAAATGATGAAATCATCACAAATACATGGTTTGACATAACAAATACCACAATCTGTCCAGCCATCAAATGAATGCAAAGGTAGTTGCATAAACATTACAAATACATAGTGCACTGCACTCATAAATTGGCATACATAAGTTGCCTATCTTCCCACATTTGGGCAGCAATCTGTAGCCTATGGTCTACCAAGGCCCTATTGTCACTTAATTGTTGCCTTGATGTTCGAATTGGTTGGTGGTCCATGTCACTTCCGGTATAATGAATTCATCGATCCCTTGTGATAGTGCATAATTATGAAGAACACAACAAGCTATAACAATGTCAACTTGGACCGGGAAAGTGAAGAATGGTTTGGCATCATCTAAAATTTTGAAACGCCTCTTGAGAGATCCAAAAGCCCTCTCTACCGTCACCCGTAGAGATGAGTGCCTAAGGTTGAATAGCTCCTTGTCATTTTGGACTGGATTGTTGCCCCACTCATTCAAATGATACCTCACGCCACGAAAAGGTGGTAAGAACCCAGGCTTGGTTCAATAACCGGCATCAACTAGGTAGTACTTTCCTAAAAAATAAAAATAAAAATTGGTTACAATGGTTTCGTAAGGCAGTAACAAATGGACAATTTCTATCTAGGTCAACGTCTTACCAGGTGGTACTTGTAAGCCTCTCTCACGAGTTAATGCATCAGCTAAGACGGTCGCGTCGTGTGCGGACCCTTCCCAACCAGCCAACACATATGTGAAGCGGAGGTCAAAATCTACTGCTGCCATCACATTTTGAGTGGTAAAGGCCTTCCTACCACGAAAAGAAGGCTCCACATCTTTGGTAACCCCTGCTCGCACATGTGTACCATCGATAGCTCCAATACAATCCTATATAGAGACCAGTATTAAATGGCATATCATATAGCCTAGATAGCTAAGGAATAGTCTCTGAAATTACCTTAAAATATGGGTCAAATCGATGATTTCCTGCAATTTTTGCGGGGGTTTCCAATGATGGTGGCCTTATATAATCATTACGAAGCTCGCCTATGGCATGAAGAGCCTTTCTAAAATAGATGCTGGTTGTGCCATATGATCTACCAAAATTGGCAGAAACAACCCTATTCCGAAGGTTATGCCCAATTGTATGCAAAAACATTGCCAATTGTTGCTCACACTAAGATGTGGACTATCTTCTAGCAAGTTGCGATCCCTCAATATGCCACACAAGCGAAAGAACGCTGCTCTTTCAAACCTTAGCATGTTTTTGCATAACACATCGCTTTGCCAAATTTTCTGGTTTAGATAGTCATATCTGATTCGATCTCTTTCATGCATTGGGCCATAGGTAATACGTGGTCTCCTCTTCCTTATAATTGACCAAACAATGACTGCCATTGCAGCTAGTGCAACAAAAACAGCTGCTCCCCTAGCCATCCTTTTTCTTTTGTTCATCTTGCTGACCATCTACAAGTGATGCATACAGTCAAAAATATATGACTACTAATGACTTGTAACCATGGATCTGGTGAGTACACAGCATCACTTATTAAATTTTTTTGGGTAATCATAGATCTACACAGTAGGCAGCATCACATATATATGGAACAAATAGAGGAGGAACATGGCACACACAGGAAATAAAAATCTGCCATCAATCCATTGTACCCATCAAGCGTATACAAAGGAGTAGGAACCATACCTTGGCTTCGTTGCTAGCCGCCAATCCAGATCTGTAGGCACACCTCCGGCCGCTCCTTCCTCTCCTGCCGCTGCCAGGTAGGTCTCCACCCGGTCCTAGGTCGCCGCCGAGCTGCAGATGTGCGCCATCTGGGGAGAGACGACGGGGAGGAGAGGGAATCGGCGCTGGAGAGGGAGGAGTGGCAGATCGAGAGAGGGAGAGATGTGGGAGGTTGGCGGCGCTGAGATGCGGGAGGGGGGCTGCGTGTGAGGGGAACGAGGGCTCGAGGGCTCGTTCTCTGTCGTCCGGCCGATTTGGAGGTATGCGTCGGTTCCGCATAATCACCGAATATTCGGTTTTCTGGGACTGGTGGGTTCTGGGCCCTTCGGCTAACTGAACACGGGAATGGGCTTTTGGAATGGGTCGGACCCATGACATTCTATCCCATGACAGCAACCGAACACACCCTTACAGCGTCTCCACGCCTTGTTCCATTACCTCCTCCTCAATAGCCGTCTAATTTGTCAAAATTATGCACACAAAAAAAATTCAGATCTTCAGAAACTTGTTAGCAAAAGGAATAAACCTTGGGTCTTTATATAGGGTAACAAGTTGGAAAATTGCTTAGGAGGAAACACATGAAGAAGCTAGCAGAATAGCTGAGATAAAATACTACTCCCTCCATCCCATAATATAAGAGCATTTTTTACACAAGTGTAAACGCTCTTATATTATGGGATGGAGGGAGTAGGTCTTAAACCAAACAACACAACATGATGCATGGAAAATCGCCTGGAACTCTTTTCCCCAATGTTCCAATTAGCAGTATTGACCTCAAACACTCAATTCTGTATTTTTTAAGATTGTAATTTGCAGTACAAGAGTAAACACATAACAACACAAAGGCATACAATCATTTAGAAATGAATCACAGCAGAACTTAAAGTCATAAAAGAAATGGTGGCTTCTCGCTGCAGGACTTAATAAATTACCTAGTAGCGTACCAAGTTTCTAAGTCAAGTCAAGGAATAGAAACTCAGGTCTAGGTAGTGACAATCAAAAAACTACTTGCATTCAGCATGCGCCCTGAAGGATAGGCAACAAGTTCAAAACTTTTAACTATGTAAAAACATGGTTGCCCTGCATCTAATTTATCTTGACAGTCTTATTTCAAATCAAATAGTTCCCGAGCACATCAATTTTTCGCTATTTGCATGGCAACACCCTTGAGAAATTAATCAAGCTCACCCCTTCAATTATCCTCACAATATACACAGGAGATGCATTAGTGGTAGAAATTGCTTGGGTGTTTATTTGCAACCATACCAGCTATTCCTACTTATATTCATCTGGAGTCAATATGATAAATGGATTTGTAGGTGTAAAGATGAACAAAACGCGACTTCTCTGTCTCATTATATCTATCAAAAGAGATAAATAAACTCCTGCTACCCGCAACGATTGTTTCCAAGTTGAAACAATCCGGAGGTGAAAATAATTTTAGACTTGTATTCCTTCTCGATTAGCTTGACCACAACAACAATTTTTGCCAAAATGGTCCTCGTGATCTAGTGTTTTTTATGAATTCATGATGCCTCCAAAATGGTACTCGTCGTGTTCAACATCTTTCCTTGTGTCCTATTAAAGTAGCATTTAGGACAGACTAACAAACAAATCACAATAATGTTCCTAAGCCTGATCAGCTCTATCACAAGCACAAAAGAATTAACAACTATGAAACGTGTAAATGAGAATCAGTGATTATAGCCAACTATCAAGCATCAGACAAGCTATGTGAGAAGAATGAAGAGCAAGCAACAGAGAGTTTACCATTTGATATTGTCGGTGACGACAACGATGGTGGATAGTTGCTATATGCGAAGCTCTGCACTGTGGAAGCACACACTCTCTCAATCTTTAATGTTTTCATGTCCAACGTGCATAAGTCTGTGCATAATTCTTCGTCGAAGGATGAGAACCCCCAGTGATTCAAAAGCAAATGTGTCCCCATCGACTGTCTGAGCACGTACCCAGATCCCGGTGAGGGTGGGATTACCTTATCCTTTTGCCATTGGCTGGAACTCCCATTATTGTTTCTCCAAATGGTATAAATGTGGCCGCGTGGGCCGTATGTAAGGACAACCAGCCCGGGCCTGCCTTCTCCTGCCTCCACCATGGTTATATGTCTGTAACAAACTTTGGGTTCAGCTGGGGGTTCAGCAACGGAGAACTCCATCTTACGGGTGTTGAGCACCAACATTTTTATTCCGTGCTTCGAATTTGGCAGCCAGTAAAAGCAGCCATACACGTATTGGCGCTGGCAGAAGAGTGTCATCTCTGTCGATGATAGCGAGCCAGCTGACAAATTGGTCCAGGTAAGGGATCGAATGGCTTGCCATTGTCTGGTGCTGGAAGAGAAGACATAGGTGATGAGCTTATCTTCATAGTGCCCCATCCAGATCACTCTGAATGACGTCTCTTCAGCGGCTGTTGACTCATCGTCCTCATTGCCGCCTTCGGGAACAAGGAAAATCTCGCATGAATGTGGGCGTGGCCCCTCCACGGTAGCTGCTACGTCGTCAGGGATTGAGGGAAGCATGAGGTACCTCCGGTGCAAAGGGTCGCACACCACCGTCTCTGTGAAGACGACTCCATGAGAATCTTCCAGGGGCATCCCGCGGAGGAGGACCCGGCCGTCGCGGACGTCCCAGAGAGCCCAGCGGTGAGCGGGGCCGGGGGGCGGAAGGAACGAGAAGGAGAAGTCGGCGGCGAGGGCGACGGCACTGGCCGCAGATGCGGAGGGGTGAGGCCGCTCGGCGGGGTCGAAGCCGGTGTGCGGGCCGAGGAAGCCGAGGAGGGGCGGCGCGTGGAGCTTGCGGAACTGCCTGAGGAAGGAGCGGTCGGCCACGACGCGGCGGAAGGAGACGCAGGCGGCGGAGGCGAGGACGAGGTCGGCTGGGGTGGGCAGGCGAACGAAGATTTCGGCGAGGAGTTCGTCGGGGATCGGCAGCGAGGCCATATCCTCGGGGGCGTGCCGCCGCGGAGGGCACTGACGGCGGTGCTCCGCTGAGTTGCGGCCCATCCCGCCGCCGGTGGCGAGAAACCCTATTTTGGTTTTAGCACGGGATTTGGGGAAGAGGAAGGCAGCGGTTACGACTGGAATTTGGTCATTTTGATGGGCCTTTTGGCAAATGTACAAACTCCCCACGCCCAGTACGATGACTGTCAAACGCATGCAAAATCTCTCTTTGTTTTTTCTATATCTATATCTACTAGTTGATTGTCCGTGCGTTGCCACGGGGTATCGAATTTATATATACTCAAAACATAAATACACCATTGTAATCCTCAAAACATAAAGACATGGACCAAAACTTTGACCTCAATTAAAAAAATTGGATTCTGAATTTGTTGTAATCCGAATTTTTAGCATGCAATACAGAATCATTGGTTGTTTCCTCAACTAAAAAGAATGTGTTGCATGCTAAGTCAGTCGGGTGTCATTCATTTCTGACATAAAATTCAGAGTGCGGAGCCAGTAATTAAGTAATCAACCGTTATGGACAGCCACACTCCAAATTAGAAAAAAGAGGGGGAAATGTAGCATCAATGTTAGTTAATGGAGTAGACCCACAAATCAAAATAGGAGAGAAGTGATGCAAATTTTCCTCAAACGCAGTATTACATCACCCATGCAGTGGTGAAAAAAGACAGTATAAAATACATGAGAAAAAACACAAGCGCACATCATCTACGGGAACCATCTCTAGCCGTAACTCTTAATCAGACTAACCCAACAGGAGCATACCTGCAACCAATGGGGAGATCAGAAGAATAGCATTCCCCGGGCTTATTCATCGCCCCAGCCCGGGTGCAGCCGGATCGACCTCGTCGTTAGTAGCAAGATGGAGGCTCAGGTCCACATCGCGTGGTCATCTCCTCCATACACCATGCTGGATGACTCCGTCCAGCTGAAGTCGATGTCTCACCAATTAACCACGATCTTCATGTGGCTCCTTCGCGTTGTGCTTGGCCCTGGTTCATCATGGACTAATGCACATTGTAGAATTCATAACAAAATTCTAACCGTAATTCATATCTGGTGCATAGTATCTAATTCCTTACTCGTATAAATAATTGAAAATGTCATTCGTCATGAATCAACATCTTTTACAGACACATATTACATAAATCATAAAAAAAATTCTAACCTAATTTCACATCAAGTGCATAGCATCTAATTCCTTACTCGTACAAATGATTGAAAATATCTTCATGAATCAACATGCGGCTTGAATACAGATATCATGCATCTTTATATACATTGCATCACTTATATAATCTCCGGTCTAAAATCACACTCCAATGTATAGTTCCCTGAAAGATTCTCCATAATTGCATGTTAGATGAATTCTAGCATATGAACAAAGTGCAGCCTTGTTGCCCTTCTCATGTTCTGCGGAATCGGAAGTTTGAAATCATTTCCTAAGCATAGAATGTAAAGGCAGCCCTTTTGACCCTTCTCACTGTAGTATAACCTGTAGGTAGATAGGTGGTTGTTTGGTAGTAGCAAAAGAAAACTCACAGATCACGACTTCGTTACTTAAGAAACCATTTAAAGTCTGAGCTATATATCCTCTCACACTCGATCACCTCTTGTTATATCCAAATTTTGAAACCACATTATCATTTCCACCAAAGAAATTCATAACCCTGATGGCCATTAGGATTCTTCAAATGGACTGGCCCAACAGAAAACAAAAATAATATATAGGCATGAGAGTCTGACACATATTGCATTTCAGATCTAGTGAAATGAAGAGTTGTGAACACGGACAGTGTATAGTGTAAGGAGATGCAATGTGTGCCCAGCTCACAGTGTCGACCTTTGTATATGTATAGTATAAGTATCTTAGCCTCTTCCCATGGAGACATGCAAACGGACAAATCAGATAGTAAGGTAAAAGAAACAGTGCCTTTGCACATGATAATATTATACATGAATGAATTCTTAAGCATATAACATGATCATGCTTAATAAATAGGCAGTATTCCAACTCACAAGGATCACACTAAGCCAACATATCAATATTCAGTAACAGAAACTTAGAAGTTCCCTTTTACTCTAACCTGTTTTAAGAAGACTTTCTATCATATACCTCTTCTCTTTTATTATATTGCTTGCCTGCATATACTTCTCTTCAAGGATTGCTAGGGCGCATTCAGTTTCCTGTATCTTTTTCTGGAAAAGAATGAAAAAAGAATACAAATGATCATTCAGTCATTCGACAAGCGTATGGCAAGAAAACATGTGTACCTGCAATGTCTGAAGCTTTTCACTTAAGTCTGCACTTAACACTTTCTGAGAATTGTACAGTCCTTGGAGCTCTTCCAATTGCTATTACAATTATAAATCATATTTTTTGTTCTCAAATCAATAAGAATTCCAAATCGACGCCGCCACCAAGACTAAAGGTAAACCTTGTATTTTGACTGCAAATCAAGCTCTAAATCGTCTAGCTTCTCTCACATAGCATGAAATGTTTATCCAGCATACTCAAGCCTAATATTTACAGCCTAGTATATAAGTATAAATAACACAAAGAGCATAGAACCTTCTTTTCAACTTCATCGGCTAGGTACACAAAGAGCATAGAACCTTCTTTTCAACTTCATCGGCCAGGTATTGTTCCTATGTGTCGGTGTACTAGAGTAGGGGTACCATAGTATCCCGAACTTGTGCACGGGCAGTCGCAGCATCCCGCGGCAAGGCTTGCCGGGTGACCGCCAAGGTCCTCCGTGGTTCCTTTGGAGCCATTCAAGAACAAAGTATCCAAGCCAAGGAGATAAGACCCCGGCAAGAGGAGCTTGCCGGGAAGGCCAACAAAGGCATCTCAAGACCCCGGCAAGAGGAGCTTGCCGGGAAGGCCAACAAAGGCATCTCAAGACCCCGGCAAGAGGAGCTTGCCGAGAAGGCCAACCAAGGCACCTCAAGGAACTTGCCGCGGCGCGCCACGCGTCCCGGCAAGGCCCGGTGAGCGACAAGCTCCCAGACGCGACAAGACAACGACCGCGGCAAGGCGCTTGCCGCGGCAAGCTACCACTCTGTGCCCGCGCTCCAGCACATCCACCAACGTGTCGCTCTGGGACCCTTCCAGGCGTACGTGGCGGGAGGCTGTGCAGCCAGGGGTGCGCGGTGGCAAGCGGCGCTGATAAGATCGCCATCGTGGCGAGCGGTGGCGTCCCTGACGGTCCCTTTTGCACTATTTAGACGACGCAGACGGGCATTTAATGACCTTGTCCCCTGCCGTCAGGGTTAGGTATGATACACTGTAGCAGGTAGCTGTACCTACCGCAGCACCTTCCCATTTTTACCCTTGTCTACGTTGCCACCTGTCGGTGACCCCTTGAGCATATAAAAGGAGGCCCATGCACAACGTATAAGGGGTTAGCTGATTAGGAGAAAGAGAACAGTCACGCTCGGTCTCGTTAGCTGCTGGAGTGTACTGTAGCACTCCGCGCTCCCGAGCAAGAACTCAATACAAACCACAAAGCAGGAGTAGGGTTTTACGCATCCGTGCGGCCCGAACCTGGGTAAACTGCTCGTGTGCTTCGCCACGATCCGCTCTTCGTGCGACCTCCGCCCCCGCCGAACCGAAAGGGACTCGGTCCGCCGGTCCCATAGGTGCTCGTGGATGTATCATACCTAACCCTGACGGCAGGGGACAAGGGCATTAAATGCCCGTCTGCGTCGTCTAAATAGTGCAAAAGGGACCGTCAGGGACGCCACCGCTCGCCACGATGGCGATCTTGTCAGCGCCGCTTGCCACCGCGCACCCCTGGCTGCACAGCCTCCCGCCACGTACGCCTGGAAGGGTCCCAGAGCAACACGTTGGTGGATGTGCTGGAGCGCGGGCACAGAGTGGTAGCTTGCCGCGGCAAGCGCCTTGCCGCGGTCGTTGTCTTGTCGCGTCTGGGAGCTTGTCGCTCATCGGGCCTTGCCGGGACGCGTGGCGCGCCGCGGCAAGTTCCTTGAGGTGCCTTGGTTGGCCTTCCCGGAAAGCTCCTCTTGCCGGGGTCTTGAGATGCATTTGTTGGCCTTCCCGGCAAGCTCCTCTTGCCGGGGTATTGTCTCCTTGGCTTGGATACTTTGTTCTTGAATGGCTCCAAAGGAACCACGGAGGACCTTGGCGGTCAGCCGGCAAGCCTTGCCGCGGGATGCTGCGACTGCCCGTGCACAAGTTCGGGATACTAAGGTACCCCTACTCTAGTACACCGACAGGAGCCCCCGGGCCTGGGCCATACACGGTGCCGAGCGCTATTGGGACAATCCCAAAATAGGGCACGGGCACGCGCGGCCTAGGTTACGCCGTATCTTTCTCCGTATCCACTGCGCCCTCCCCGAACGTCACGCGTTGAATGCGGCATCGTGGGAGAGATCGTGGGGGTTTCTTTATTCGGAAATGCGGAACGTCCGCCCCCTCCCTCTTTATAAGCAAGGGAAACAGGGGCAGTCCGCCCATTCGCCCGTTGCTACTTCCAATCTCAGAAATCTCCGCCGCTCCCTCGTCTTCCCAAAGCTGAGAGAGAGAGCGCCCCGCCCCCCATCGCCACCAACACCACCAACGCCGTCGACCTCCTCCACTACTTCCGCCATGGCTCCAAAAGCCGACAAGGGGAAGGTCGTGAAGTCGACCGAGGCGCAGCGGCTTGCGGCATTGCGGAAGGAGCGGGCAGTCTCCCCCCCCCCAAGCTTGCCGCGAAGGAGCTGAGGGAGAACTACTACCTCTTCTAGTCGACGGAGACACGAGCGCATCCGCGCACGAAGGTACTCCCCGCCGCCGCTTGGAAGAAGGCCCCAAATGGATACCCTTTCTTCGCCTTGTTCTTCTACTGCGGGCTCTGCCCGCCTTTCTCTGAATTCTTCTGCGATATCATGAACACCTACGGGTTCCACCTCCTTGACTTCACCCCCAATGCCGTTCTGACCATGGCAGTTTTCGCACATCTCTGTGAAAACTTTGTCGGAGTCCACCCCAGTGTAGCTCTCTTTCGCCATTTCTTCATACCCCGAGTAGAGAG